CTGGCACGGCATGGTTTTTGCAGGGCAATGCGCAAGTGCGCCAAGCTTTGTACCGGCGCTCAATGCCAACATGCGCACGAACCTCACGCACCCTGTGATCATACCATCTCAGCGAAAAGCCGAAACAAGGACCGTGTGTGTTTCGAACGCCTGAGCAAGAGCCAACGTAAACATTGCGATGGCAACAGGAAACACCTGCGACATATGTTACGCCGGTGTCAAGCATCTTAACACGACCATCATGCATGATAGCAATCAGAAGTTCAAGCCAATTTGCAAGGGATTGGCAAGCAGACTCCCTCCCGGAGACCAGCCGTTGATGCAAATCCAAAGGAAAGAAGCGGCACAGAATGCTGACGTGTCGATGTGAGCTCTTGGCCTTGTTTGATAACGACATTCGGTGCACAAGGCTCGCACATGCAGCCGCAGCATCAAGCAGACTAACAACCTGAACTATCTGAACATGTGTCCTGCCCCACGACATGTGTTGCGGGAACAGCCAGCACAGGCAGAAGAACATAATGAAATGAAAATCCGCGACATCACATTCTTGCAACAAAGCCGGGATCTTTGACAACACGCTGCGAGTCAGGTGCTTAATGGTGTCATTCGGTCTGGGCACAACACCTGTGACAACGAAGCTAAGCATCATCATGAATGCTTGAGGTGTCAAAGCAGATACCTCAGGCCAGTGCAATGAGTCCACCGTGCCCGGAAAGAAAAGAGCACATTTGAGAATGGCACCACGTTTACGGATACTGCTCATATGGACAGATAGACACGTGCCAACAGGTGGCACAAGGAGAAAAGGCTGGAAGAAAAGTGCTGACAAAGCTCACTACGCTAAACCGCGGCTCGTGAGCACCACACAATGAAGTAGAACTCTGAAGCTTGATGTCTCCAAAGCGCCGTCTCAACAACCAGATTGTTGGAAACGAAATGTATGAAAATCACAGCACACCCCTACGACCCCAAGAAAACAGAATGTTTCGATTACAACCTACACGTACAGCCAATAAGGCAAGATGAACTCGTAATTCGAATAACGATCGCCGTGAGTTTTTTCGGCTCGGTGTTGTCCCCTCGTCAGGCAGTGCTTCCTCAAAGACTCGTTTCGCCCATCACACTGCTACGAGTATCACAGGAGAGGATTAGGGCACAAGGGATTTCCCTCGGGAGACTCGAGCAATAAAACTCCGACGGAGCTCAGAACTTGATCAGAAACATCCTGTAGCGTGAAATGCACATTCTCTTGCGCACGCTCCAAGATGGGACTCAATTAACTGGCATATATCAACAACAGCACAGGGCCCGCTTTTCACACGAAGCAGCAAAGTCGCTACTAGCAGACCCTATATGGGGGGACAAAATCCTTTGCGTTCTCAATGACATCTTCTATGTGGCGAAGGTCCCAGACAGCTTCGACAAAGGCGTTACGGTTCTTACCTAAAGTGCTCCAACCGGTTGCACTGGGGGGGGACCCGCCCCATTACGCTTAGTTCGACCCTCCCCAAATGGCTGGCACAACTCCTGCTCTTGAGAGCGGGGGACCTACTGCGACCCGGGGCCTTCCTACAATGGGCACGCAAAGGGAGACAAGGAGTGGAGCTGGTTGCGACCATCCGTCGCGTCACACACATGGCGCGTGACTGGGGGTTGGGATGTGGCTGGTAAAACTTGACATCCACAAAGCTTTCGATAGCGTCTGGCAACACAGCATGAGCGAGCTTGTGGCAGCAAGGGTTGGGCGGGTCCCTTCAGCATGATGCCCGGTCCTGGAAGGCGGCGGGGGGATGCCCTGGGAAGCAATGCCATGGCTCAACATGCTGCACACAAGGTCGCTCAATATCGCAGTGGGCGACAGCATCACCGCCATCCCACAGACAAATGGAATTCGCCGAGGCTCTCCGGATTCCCCTGATCTATTTGGAGCGATTGTCGCCAGAGATCTTCAGGAAGCAGTTGACGAAGCAGCCACAACCACCCGATCCAAAAGGGGGTGGCTCTTTCCTTGATGATACCTGCCTCTGGAGCCAAGACCGGAACCACCTGCAGAAGGTTCTAGGCTCAATTGAGGAAGAGCTGGCAGAAGGGCTCCAAATACACCGCCAAGACGGCCATTCTTTACAGCAAACCAACCGGGGACCTTCACCATTGGGGGGGAAGTGGTGGCATGTGCTCCGCACAAGACAGTCGTCGCAGCATTTGGTTCTCCAATTACCTTCGGCGAACAAACAGCAGCTATCATAGCGGAAATGAGCCGTTGGGGGAGGCAAGCAGTTGCAAAACATAAGAAGAAGATATTCATGGCACGCACCCACATCAGTACCCGTTGGATAGCCTACGCGACCTTGGTGCGGAATTCTGCCCCTACGCTGCCGAAACATGGCCAGCTCAGCACAGAATTCTCAACGCGGCAAGCTCGCTGCGGATGCAACACCTCAGGGGAATGCTATTCCTACACCGCCAACCCACAGAACCATGGGCAACCTGGCATACCAGAAGCCTCTACACCGTATGGGGGTGATAGGTGGTCGAGCTACATCCGAAGCCGAATTAAGGCACCCTGGGGGCTTATGGCGCGAGGAGGCGATGAAGTGAACGCCATGGTGACTTGGAAAAACATGGCATTCTGGCGCGAGCAGCAAAGCAAACCCCGCAAGCACAGGGTGACGCACACAGGGCACTTCAATCCTGAAGCTGACGTAGACGTAGAGCGAACAATTGAAGCAGTTGCGGGAATCTGCCTTCGTAGCCAGATTCGATTTTGCCTGGGCCACTGGCAAGCAACAAAGCATCCAAGACAACCTCCTTCCCAACGGCAGGCGCGGCCCGCCCACCGCCATGGAAATGGCAGCTTGATGACGGCTAGCCCAGAGATGTTATTGTAGTTGACTTGGGGGAGGGGTTGCGACGCCATTGAGGGAGGAAAAAAGCAACAACAACAACAATAACAACCCACACTGTGCAACAGAAAGACCAAGCAGCAGAAGAGACAGAGACAGCGCCTACCATGCAGTGGAACGTGGAATGTTCGAGGAGTGCACAAGCTTCGAGTAGTCGAGCTCACTGGAAAAGCCACCATAGCCATGAGCAGAAGGAAGCTGGGAGCCAACTTCAACCAGTGCAGCTTCACGGGGGAAGCTCCACCGCCGACACAGAAAGGGGCACCAAGCAACCAGCCCTGGTCCTAGGAGGATGCCCTGCAGCGGAGACGCTACAAAAAGCCAAAGACATGACCCAGCAACGTCGTGTGGACATCGACACGGACCAGGCCTTTTGTGCGGGGGTGTGATGCGGCTATGTCATTATCCCGTACAAGGCCCGGGCTGCAGAAACCGGCAGAAACGGGGAACAGCTGCGCGAATGCCTGCACGGAGCCAGACGCGGGGACCCAACGACCCAACACCTCTGGATGCAACTGTGACAGTCTCCCCAACAGCCACGTAAAGCTCAGCTTGAAGGCAAAACCAAATGCTTGCTCCTCTCCATGGGTGGCCCCGATTTGGCAGCCGTGGCCGCTTCCGCTGAATGGGGGGAACTACGGCAGGACCTGTGCTGAGACGAGAGGGACAATGTGCCTCTACAGTCGCGGAGCACTTGCAAGCCCACCAAGGGGGAGAACTCTTCTCACGTAGCGACCTGGAACGTGGGTGGCCTCAGCGCTGAAGCAATGCTGGACCTGCTACGCTCGTTCGGGGGAGCGAAACATCTCTGCGTGCTACACGCAGTGTGTTTTCAGGAAGTCATCATGGAGCCAGGCCTTTTCCTCAAAGCAGGACATGGCTGGAAATTCATCCACGGCAAGATCGACGGAGAGTTTAGACGGGAAGCAGTGGCATATAGAAAGAATGTTGCCGTACGCAGCCAATCCCGGGTTACCAAAAGTGGGGTGAGCAGTGTCTGACGCTTTCACACGGGAGAGAAATGGGGATGCTGAGCGGACACATATACCCCACCACACCATCCCCGAAGTCGAGCAGCCATACTTCATGAATGGCAATAAGCCGATCGGCCCATATCGAAAAGATCCCGCCCACTCCGCCTTTTGTGATTTCGACTTAGCTATGACCGATCACCTCCGGCAAGCCATGCAAGCCCAAGTCGGCCCTGTGTAGACTGTGGGCTCTACACAGGGTGCTTCTGCGACGGTGATGGCGAAGAGCGTTGTGCGGCCGATCGCATGCCGCACGAACAGTGGGCTGACAGTCAGCTCACGCCACTCTGCACTGCTTGCGATCGTCGGCACGATGCGTGCCATTTCTGTCTGGGGATCCCCTGGGTGACACCACCTGCCCATCGCGATCGCAATCGGCACCTGCCAGCTGGGGAAGATCCTCCCCCAGCGATGGATGGGCCAATCTACTATTAGGCTCCAGAAGGTGGTCAACCTCACCAGGGTCGGCTCGCCAACGCTCCGCCTGTGATACGCAAAGCTCCGAAGAACGCAGGTCCTGCTCCGAAGCCCAAGGGCCCCAAAGCAGATCCCGTTGTCGGCTATGTTCAGGCAGATCCTTCCGCAGCTCTGCGGGCCAAGCCGAAAGCGGAACCTTCCGCCGCCTTTCGGCAGACCGAGGCCGAGCCCAGCCGGCCTCCCTCGACGTTCCGATCGAGGACTTTTGAATTTTGGCGCGGGAAGTTTTCCTCGTCGGATGTGTCCGATCGGACCGATGGTGCGGTCTTTGGTATATGCCAATGCGCCCCCCCCCGGCGATCGGGGTTTTCCGATCGGACTTGTGAAGATCGAGAGAAGTTTTGTTTAGATCTGTGGCCGACTCCCACGTTGCGTTCGCACGAAAAAGGTGGAGTGACTGCAGGCTGTTCAGCGAGTGAGTCGAGCGGTGTAGATCGTGGAAACTGATTCTGTGTACATGCGATTTGTTTGCACGTGTGTATATACGTGTATAATGCATCGTTCATACAATTTCATACATGTGTGTGCTTTCGCTTCCAAAGACGATGCCTTCTTCAAGTAGCTTGCGGACATCACATCCCTTGAGGTATGGTACAAATACGAAATCCGTGGGGCACAGGGGCCCGCAGCCAAGCGCAACGCGATGGGAGCCTGCGGATGCTGAGTCACCCGGCCAAGGAATGGAAAGGGCCCTGGTCAGATGCTTCTCCTTTGTGGGAGAAATACCCGCTCCATGGCAGAATTCCGTGTCGGTTCTTGCCGTGACTACATTAGCTTTGGAGTTGGGGCATCCTGATGCTCCGAATGTTTTGCTTAAGGCACGTGCGAGAAACTTTGCAATTTTCCGGCCGAATCGGTCTCAGTTTGTGTGTGTGTGTTTGGTGGATGCACTTAGCCTTGGCCGGATAAGCTGTCGTGAATACAGTTGAGGAGACGATGGAACGTACTGGATGCGGCGACCTAAGAGTATCAAGTCTCGGGACGAAGAGCATACGACTTCTCATCCGATTCGCCTGTGCGCCAACCCCCGGCAGAAAGGACGGAAGTAGCTTCCCCTCAACATTACAGCGTTGACAAGAAGCGCGCAAGTTCAAACAGCATCTAGAGTCTAGAGTTAACATGTGACACACATGCAGATGCGAACCAATGAAGGTCATGTCCGCATCTCGTAGATGGGAAACGCTTGTTGCTGTTGTTTCTTGTTCACCGGACTGTTCGCACTGCGGGGCTGTAGCTCCCCACAGCCACAATGTCGCACACAGTCCCGAGTCCGCCCCATTGCACACTAGAATGTAAGAACGAAGCAAGTAAGAAGAAGAGATAGGGTCGAGATGGAGGTGGAGAGACAGCGAGGCCCCTTGCGAAAGAAAGAGCGTGTGCGGCGGGATTTCCAGACCACCCCAAAGAGCCCCGAGGAGCCTCATTGTATCTCATAGTGAGGGGGTCTGCTAGGACTGAAGCGAAAGAACATGAAGAAGAGAGAGAAACACAGCCAGAAAGAAGTTACGATTACGGCAGGAAAGGGGAGGGAGAGAGAGAGAGAGAGAGAGAAAGAGAGAGAGAGAGAGAGGGGAGAGAGAGAGGAACGAAAAATTACAACATAATTACCCTAGTTCCCGGCCACCAAAACCGAATCATACTACAACTTGTCCGAGAAGCCGGCAGTCAAGCATGCGGGCTCGTTGCCTGCAGCCCCTGCTTGGGAGAAGAACAGGAACTCACTTCACAGACTCACGGAATGAAGAAAACACGCGGCCTGTGGGGTTGGGGTCGCTCCAAGCCCTGAACGGACCGGAAGGAAAGAAACAAGGAAAGAAGAAAGGAAGACACGAGGTGATTCCCCACGTGTCGCATGATCGAACGTGTGTGGTTCTGGCAAGTGGACAGACAATGGCGTGTTTTAGACAAGCCCTGCAGAAGCACGGGAGGTTTCAGCCGTGCATTGAATTTGGTCTGCTTGGCGACACTTGTTTTTAACGCCTTTTTGATTATTTGTAGTAGCAGCCTTGGCAGGAAGTCAAGCTGATAGTGGTGGCGCACGAACTTTGTACTGTGGTCGTGAGACATGAGACACACGAAAGGCAATGGGAGGACTTCTGTCAGCTGTGGGGCTACGTGGGCTGCCCCGGCCTTCGGAATTGCAGAGGTGCTGTCACCCTTTGAAGTGCATGCGAGGGGATTCCGAGGTGTGGACTATGGCAGCGGCCTCTTCTCTATGAGGCTTCGACAAGCCATGTCGCGGAGAGAGCGAGGGAAGGCGGACACGGCCCTCGACTCAAGAACGGGATCACGCAATTGACGGCGTTCTAATCTTTGCTGAAGAATAAGAGTGAGATGGCCTGACTTGATCTTACAGAAAAACGCCCCGGCGAAACACGGGCTTTAAAGTCAAGTCTACGGGCGAGCGTTGGCTCAAGATGGCGCGTGTCTGCCCGGACCGCGGAGATGCCACGGCAACGGGACCGTTGGCTGGAAATCCTCAAACAAAGGCGGCAAAGAGTAGCTCGAAACGGCTTGAACAGCACCCGACTCAGTAGAGGACAAACCTTTCCACAGCAGCAACTTCAGCAAGACACGATAGACCACTCGACCATCAACCCACCGGGGGCATGCAGATAAGCAAGCCCGGAAGACAGGCCGATTCATGATGAAACCCGAGCAGACCAAACACAACTGCACCAACCACAGTGACAAGGACGTCCGCACAGAGATTTAAGAACCTGCTGCTCTGACCTGGTCTTTCAGACCGCCCATCGCTAACCAGCTACGGCCGGCTGGGCCTAGCTGGGAGGAGATGACCAGAAGCAGCGGGAAAGACTTAACGGTCGCAGTAAAGTCGAAGGATCTCATCGTATCTCAGTGTGTGTTTGCCATAGCGAGAGCACACCCAAAAAAAAGCGCAGTGCACGATCACCACCAGTGCAGACCGTTTTTTCTTCGCCGATCTTCGCTGCGAGACCAGACGGAACAATGACGGGCATGCAGTGTCAGTGTCAGTGTCACATTGCATCAGGTCGGAGACGGTTGTTTTTTGACCTGGCAGACTTTCTATGGATTTACAAAGAACCAAGCACAAGACCGATACACACAATCACGTGTTGGCGCTCACAGGTGTTCGTTCTCCCACGCGTCTCCTCGTCCCATGCCAGGCTACCTGTTTTCTCGGAGGAGGATGCAGCAGGTCCTGTCAAGGCAAGTGAGAGTGTGTTGATGTGGCACTGGTATCAAACAGGTAGATGAACACAACATCTTGGTTGACAGGCTTGCTTCCTCGGCTGCGCTCGTTTCTGGTGCTTGTGACACAAGCTCAGACCTTTCCAATTTAATGCACGATTCTACATTCCAGACTTGCTGGAACTGCCGGTTGTTAGCGGTGCATCCGAGGCGAAGGGCCTCGCCATTTTCTCTTCACCCACGAGGTCGTCAGATGTGCAACTGCCAACAAGAAAAAGTTACTCCCTCACCACATCTCTGGAATTATGCTAGCCTGAAATCCCGGGAGGCTTCCGCTGAGCATGTAGAAAGCGATGCCTTCCGACGAAGCTTCGGCCTTGCCCTGATGGCAGCATGGTGCCATGCTATTGCTTCAGTGATTTGCAAGCTGTTTACAAGCCTTCGGTCGCTTGATCTGAACCGCGGTCGTTGTTGTATATGTTGTATGTCGTTGTTGAGCACTGCCCCGCAACAGCAACCGACTCACAGCCACCCGGAATCGCATCAAAAGGTTGTGATCCGCGCGGAGCCTACTGCCGCTTGTGCGAGCGGGATATGGTCCGGAGCTCGGAGTAGTTAAGCAGACTCAGAGGATATTGAATAAGAAACACTTGAAGCAATGGAGCCAATCGACTCAAGGCGGTTCTCCAGCGAGAATGCTGCCAGGGAGAGCTGCACAAACAACAAAAACGAGAAGAAATTGTGCATGCGCTATACCGATTTTGATTGATTCACGCGGCACGCTGTGTGGGAGCACACGCAAGGGTTTGCGTGAACGTGCTACTCCAACATGTACCACGTACCACGTGCAACAAGTGTTGACTCGACGGTTCGCCCACGAGTCGTGAGAACGTGAGCACGCGTCTGACAGCCCTACATCCAAAAAGCCGGTGAAGATGTTACATTTGTTACACGGAAACCGCAGGCATGAAAATGGACGGGTCAGATGGTTTCAGCGGTGCTATAGACAATGGAAGTGCAGCAACATGGACCCGACATGTAACTGCCCGGAGTCCGAAATCCAAAACATCCCTAAACACAGTCCTGAAAGTCTACGAAGATCGAAAAAGACATCGCCCACACAGCGGGAACCTACCCCCTATCCTTTACACCTTAGACGCGAAACCCTGGCCTGCGCATGCCTTCGCCACGTTCTGGAATTCGGAAGCATGTGCACTCAGCAGTGTTGTCCACACCCCGAAACTCCCGGACATGCCTCGGGTGAAATCCAGTAGCTGGCGTGTTCGATGACCCAAGCGGCGCTTGCGACCCTCACTTTCAACCGATAACCCTTCTGTCAAAAGGAGAAAGACAGCAGCCAGTTGTCTTGATGGTGCGGACAACAGAGAACGGCATGCCCAATCCAATGGCTTTGTGATCAAACCATGCCCGCTATGCTTCAGGTACACATAGACGGCGGTGAACTTGTTCAAAACGGACGTGATCTCAGCCGTACTTGAGTGCAAGGCGAAGTAGTATGCAGAGTGCATAATTCGAGGAAGGGCATTCTTGCCTTGCTTGTTCCATGCCAAAGTGCTGGCTTGTTTATTGTCAGTTGTCAAACCTGGTCCAATCACAGTAGGGTGCGCTTAAGCAGGTGTCATCAGTCACAGAAACTTACTCGGTTCATCATGACAGAGCCAAAGTCACTTCGTCGTCAGACAGCTTGAGCCATTGCCGCAAACCCTGCAAGTGCGAAAGCGTACAGCCTGGGATTCCGTGGAGTTCGCAGCGTTGCATGTCTCGGATCCCAGCCTCGGTTGGATTGTACGCCAGCCTCAATCAAGTACTGTTGCATCGCCAAATCTTGAGGCAGTGGCTGGCCCTAGCACAGTCATAGAAGCATGTTGGCAAAGCCATAGTTCAAGCTCCACCCGGGAGCATTAGTGTCTACAAGTGGCTGTTTTGCCTGTTTCCCGGGGAAATCCATGGCAGGAAGAACATGTCAACATGTCGCATGCCTTGTTTGACGCCTGTAGGAAGCTCTGGAATGTACGGTACATTACAGGGCCCTCTTTTCAGCATCGCCTTTGCCCTGTTGCAAGGTCTTGAAATCTTCGTCCCTTTGTTGGCGGAAGATGCGGAAATATCTCAGGGTTTTTGTCTAAGAGGTTGCCAGGAACAGCCTGTGTGGTGCAGGGGTTGTGCAAGCTTCTCTGACAGTCGTGCAAGAAGATATTTATATATCTATGCACACACATCTTATGTATTTACATATGTATATATGTGTGTTGGTTTCCTGATTGGTCGTGTTGTGAAGGTAGGTATTGTAGGAAAAGGCTATCACACTCAGCTCAGAGGCAATGAGCAACTTGCAAACGGCAGGGCGAAGCACATAGTGCCACGCCTCTTGTGTAGTGGGGTCGAGCAGCACGGTCATCTAAGTTTGCTACCAGGGGTCAACGCGCGTCTCAACGGACATATAAGCTAGCTCGGTGCCATCATTCATCTCGGCTTATGCTGCAGGTTTCCATAGGTTTGCATCGCAGCACAGGTTTCCTGGCCATATGCATGAGTTTGAGCAGACTGTGAGACATGGCTTTGCGCAAGCACAATTCTTTCAACACGCAGCACATACCTTCCGCACTGTGCTCGACGCAGAAACCTGCTTCGGCTGCAGTCCTTCTCAAGAGTGCAGCTGGCCGATGACAACAAAGCAGCTGGATAAGATCTTGCCGGGGTCCGAGCCGGCAAGCTTGTTGGGATTATGTTGCTGAATTCTGTCCTGCTTGAGGCTTCCGGATCTTCTTCGACCGGTGTCCAAGCTTCGGTGTGCTTCTCGGCACTTGCCCGTCCGACTGGTTGGGGTTGGGTCTTTCTAAGTATCGCAGGCATGGCGAGCTGCAGAGCTTTCTCGGACGGGGCCACAGATCCATTCATCCTTCGCGAAGCATGGCTTCCAACCTGGCATGATCTTGCATGGAAGCCGGTGAGACACTTCAGCAAGGCCTGGATTCCGTTGGAGCCAAAGTTGCCCTTCGAGGTCGCCACGAGGTGCTCTTGGGATCGGGGACAGCGCTACAAAGGGTTTGCTAAGCGACTTGACTGAGTGCCGCAATCGCTTAGCAGGAGTTCCTCTTTACTTCCATACGCCAGCCTAGAGCAGAAGTCCAGTGCCTCACTCAGATGCCTGTCTACGTTACGTTGCAAACGTAGTCGACTTGAGGTGACCCGGACGGCAGAGGAAGCAAGGATACTTGAGGCGTTACATCATGAAAACCTACGCCCCGGCAGCCCATGTGAACATTGCAGCTTCCGTCTCACATGCTTTACTAGGGTGAGCATTCCCGATCAATCGGCTTGAGCTTAGGCTGTGCCTTCCTACTAAAGCTCCTGCCTCTACCGGTAGAAGTAGCTGTGCACTACTGAAGGAGGGCACATAAGCATAGTCGGCATAGTCTACACCAGGTGCTGCGCACATGCGACAAACATCCCCCCCCAAGCAAGTCAACGGAGAAACTGGCACCGTTGCTTCTCAGCCTGGGCACCCTCAAACCGCCAGTGTTGGCCTTCGCACCTGTACTCTTGAACTTGGCTGCACACACATTTCTACGGCTGTCCTGGAGCCTATGCCATCTCCGATCATGTCACACCCTCCGTCTGTTCGTATATCTCCCTGTAACAAAATTTTGTGCTCACGGGCTGCACGCCTACCCTGGCGGAACTGGGATTCCTCACTTCTCTCTACCGAGATCGAGCCTTGCAGAGCTGCCAGCTCCAACGCCGTTGCCTCGAGGAGCTATGCGTAGCTGGGCACTCTCAGGGCATGTAATTACACTCACTTGCTCAATCTCGCTCAGGCAATCCATGATGCAGGCTGTAGCTGCCGTTCCTGCAATAGCGACGGGCATTGTCCAAACAGCGTTCCCTCGCATTTGGGCAATTGCAGCTGCCTCGGTCGCTGCAATGGCTTCATGTCGCATCGGCTTTCATCGGTTGTCCTAAAGTGGCAACTGCTTTGAGACCAGCCGTCAAGCAAAGACAACAGAAAATTGGTTTCAGACCGAAAGCGCGAGTTGCCTGCATCCTGCTGAATCAAAGGGCCGCAGAATCGTAAACCTGAGCCACACGAATTTACGGACCGAATCCAGTGTTGGGGTCACCAAGGTGCAGCCGGTCGTAGATCCCTTTAGTGATGAGAAGGAGGCACGGACAACCTCATGCTGGACTTTGGGAAGCTGAACACTGAGCCCTTTTGCTGTTTCAATTATTTGGGGTCCGCGAAAGGTCTTTTTTGCACAGGTGTCTTGGGCTGTACTATGTGTCATGTGAATTGAATCCCGTCTGGTCGTGCATGTGCGCATCAGCCTGTAGTCCGACTCACACGCCACTACCGCCCTGCGCCAGGGTGACAAAGAGACTGGATGGTGCAAGTTTGTTCCAAGTCCTCGGGCCATGCTTTGGAGCCAGGGAATGCTTCAGTTTGCATGTCACATCCAGGCGTGTTCGTCAATTGAAGGCGACGGTTTCTGCTGTGCCAGGAGTTCTCCGCGTGTTCTACTGGTCGGACGTTGTAACAGTTGCGACCTTGGCCCACAGCTTGTACTTCGTTTGCGATGTGCCTCTGAGGACTGTTCATTCAGAAGCCCCTTTGTGCGTTCAGTACTCCGCATCTAAATCAGCCATCGGCAGGACATGGCTGGTAGGCCGGTCTCCGAGAGCGTCTCAGCATTGAGCAAGCTGCATCTGCGAGAATGCTGCTGTTAGGTGGACTTCTGTTGGGCTTTCCTGTCAGTGACCTGGTGCACCGAATGGTGATGAAGGATGATCCAAGGACGGGGCATGTCCTCGTTTGTACTTGCATGTGCACCTTGAAGGTTTCAGCATCTTTTTAGTCATGCAGGTTCTTTCGACCGTGCAAGGAAGATATCATACCCTTGGACCATATGGGACAGGCAAACAGACACCGACTAACGCAGAGACACACATACACACACATTACGTACTTAATTACTGACTCGCTAGTTGATCGACCAGTGACCGGCAGGCCTCATGTCATGTTTCTGCTACCTGACTGTAGTGCTCATGTTGCATGTTGAACAGAAGCTTGCAAGGCTGTCATGTGTGCTTAGGGGACTTAGAGGAAAACACTAATCTTGGTGTCACAGGGGCTCACCAACAAAGATGGATGCCACAGGGAGCCTAGCCTTTTCTCAGGTACGTCCAGCTGATCAGGCTGGATATCCCATCACATCCCATCCACTACCGTAGCTGCGTGGCCTGTGCAGCCTACAGCATGTAATGAACCGCGGTTGTGAAACGTTACTGCAGAAAAGGAAGTGACTTCCTGTGCCCATGTACGACGGGAGCACGCGCACACACACACACACACCCTCTCACGTCACGCACGTACACCTGTACAGCCCGAAGCCTTGGTAAATTTTAGCAGGTCTGTTGTTGCCCAGCTGTAGAATTGGCAGTCTCGGCATAGCCACGTTGCCACGAGCCGTTGCACACTAGCTGCAGTCATGCACTCAAGGAACCAGATGCGTGTTTATCCTCGTGCATCCCCCCTCCTAGAAAATGCCTTCGACCCCTGCCCACGGAGCGGGGTGCAAGTCATTTTATTGCCTTGCATCCCCCCAAAATGCCTTGCACGACCCCCCGTAATATCTCAAGGAACATTGGGAGGCACGTGACATGATAAATATCTACAGCTATCCTCTTTCCTTGGGCTTTCCCGGACCATGTCAGTGCATGTCGATGCCATGTTTTTGTGGTGACTTCGCTCGCTTCACCAGGCTAGCTTTATGTATGCCATTGTATGCCGTTCTGCCACACATCTGCTTGGGGATGCTTTTACAGGGGACGTACCTCACCGGCTCCCGCAATTCATTCCAACATGTTGGGGAAATGACTTGCAGGGGGGGGGGGGGGGGGGCATGGCTTCGGAGATGTCTGCAGTGATCCTCGTGCCATGCCATCCAGAACCTGAGTAGGCCTCGCAGGAGAATCAAACATAGCCGCATGGTCTCATAGGATCGAACCCTGACGTAGCATAACGGGAATTGGCAGGAATGTGAGCAACTACACAGATGAGCACTGCAACTACATGAGACACATACGCATTCATCCCCAGCTTCCGACCGATAACCAGAAAAGCTGGATGGAGCCAAGCTCTATGTTCAGATTCGGTAACGAGCGCGGGGCGTGTCAATTGGCTTATACTATATAGTGCCTCAGTCTGCTCACTTCCCCGACTTACCAGGTCTGTGGCCTAGCCTGGTGGACTTTGTAGATGCCGGTCCGGCTTATTCGTCATGGTGAACGGTAACACGGTCTGACACATGCACACATACACACACACACACACAAACACGGACGGACGGACGCTCGCAGGCATGCACCGCCAGGACTCAATCCTGCTGGGAACCGAAACAAAGGAAGAAGCAACAAAACTTGAATCGGTATCACGTCAAATGCCGTAGTTCCCATCGTGCCGATGCTGTCGCAGAAACTT